GCTTTGGATCAACCTCTAAGCCCACGTTCACGACATCCACCTTGGCACCTAAGGACTATGTTTGCTACAATGCCACCATTCCACCTAGGCCTATCGCTTCTGATTTTTCAGTTCTTTGATTTCTCCCTCTTCCACGACTTACCCAATTTTTGCTTTTGTTTCTCATAACAATCTTTACCTTTCTTAGCGTCAATATTTTGTAGCACTCCTCACAGAAACTGAGCCAGACAACTTCACTAAGGCCATTAAGTTGGAATGTTGGCGCAACTTGAGTGGATCTTCCTCCTCATCTTACTCTAATTGGGTGCAAGTGGGTCTATAAAATCAAACTCCTTGCTGATGGGTCAAATGAGAGATACAAGGCTCACGTAGTAGCCAAGGGGTACACACAAACTAAAAAGTTGGATTACTTTGATACCTTCTCCCCTATCGCAAAAATAACAACCATTAGGCTACTACTTGCCTTGGCCTCCATCATGAATTGGCATCTCTACCAACTTGATGTCAATAATGCAATCTTACATGGAGATATGCATGAGGATGTTTACATGCAACCACCACCTGGAGGTCACCACCACAAGGCCTATTCAAGTTTGCAAATTGTTCAACTCCTTTTATTTACTCAAGTAAGCTAGTAGCCAATGATTTGAAAAGCTTTCTATTTTGCTTGTTAAACATGGATATGTGTAGTCCATTAATGACCATTCTCTGTTCATCAAATCAACTAAAAATTTTGTCACTATAATTCTGGTATACATTGATGACATTGTTCTTGTAGGAGATTCATTGAAGGAGTTCGATGACATCAAATTGATACTAAATAACAACTTTAGAATTAAGGACTGGGGTGCTCTCAAATATTTTTTGGGCCTCTTTGAGGCCCACTCCAAAATGGGAATATCAATCTGTTAGTGCCTTAATCTACTTCTAGAAAGTGGACTTTTGGGCTCAAAATTGGTGCACAGCATCATTAGATTGCAATGCCAGGTTGACCCACGAGGGAGATACGACCATTTCAGACCCAACTTTATATAAAAGACTAGTGGGTCATTTGCTATACCTAAATGTGACGAGACTAGATGTGTGTTTTACAATCCAGCAATTAAGTTAATATATGCAGACCCCACTCAGGTCCATCTTCGTGCAGCCCATAGCATATTACTGTACTTGAAAGGCACCATTCCAAAACTCCAATTCATGGGGTTTGCTAATAAAAATAAAAATAAAAATTATTAAAGTTTATAGTGAAAGTTTAAATTAAAACCTATAAAAATAAAAATTAATAATATAAATAATAATAAAATTATTATAATATTTTAAAAATTAAAAAGTAAACATAAATATAAAAAAGTAGTATTTAAAAATATTTTTTATATTTTAATTATAAGAATTAATAAAAAATATTAATGGTAAAATATAATTATAATAAAATTTTGTAAACTAATATAACAGAGAAATTTAATAAGTAAATATATAAGGTAATAGTTTCATACATATACATATGGATTTGTATAACTAAAAAAAATTTCAGTTTTAGAAAATAGATTTGGACACTAAACCACTTACACAAATACAGTTAATAAAAAAACTGGTTTAATATGAATCTAGATTTTTAAAACCAGTTTAATATTAGTTATGGATTGGATTTGTAAAACTGAATTTTTTGAGCACCCCTAGGCTTTAAGTATGAGGGAGTGGTTCCCAATCATATGATTGCTATTACATGTTCTTGAGTAAAGTACCTATGTTATTTTTTATGATAATTTGAAACTTTTTCCATCATGGAACCTAATTTTTTCACATAAAAGAGTATGTTAAGTAATTATTATTAGCACTATACTTTCATTTGGAAACTAATCATTAGCTAAGTTTCTTACTTTTATACTCTACATTAAACTTTAACCTACAAATGTGAGTTTTGATCCTTAAAAAGGATTTTTTATCTTAATTTAATTAATTGTATCCCTCTTTTCATTGTTTTGTGTGATTATGTCCTTAAGATTTGTGCTTTAGAACTTGACTTGTAACTTGATAAGTCTGTAATTAGACCCTATTTTACAGCCTATATATTTATATTTGACCTTTATTTTATTCGAGGTTCACACTAATTTATATATTAATTATGCAGTTTGGTATAAAGATGCTGCAAGTAGACTTTGGGTGAGTTTTTGGGCTCAAATTAATGGAAGATTAGAGCTTTGCAGCAGTTAGCACGCCTAGACCCTTTCAACAAGCACAAGAGTGCTTTGAGTCTATGCTTAAGCATTACCATGCTCATCTGCGGGAAACCTAATTGTGAAGAGTCTTTAGGGTTTTGAAACCCTATTAAAAGGAAACCTCAGGCATCGTAGTAGAGACGATTTTGACACTTTGGCTTTTGTTCTTTCACCTCATCTCTTTTCTAGGAGATCTTTGGCATATTCTTGGCGAGACTTGGAGCTTCGAGTGACCGTATTCAAAAACTGGGAACTCATCTCATTCTAGTTTTCTTTTCTCTGTGACTTTGTTTATTATTATTTTAGTTCTTTTCTTTAGCATGAGTAACTAAGTCCATAGTTAGGGCTATGAGAACTATCGTTCATGAATTTATGAGATTTTGATGTTTGAATCTAAATTTGATTTCTGTTTTACTATAGCACGAGGCAAGCAACCAGGATCGTTTCCCAAAGGATCACAAAGACGAATTAATCTATTTGGATAGTATGTTAGGATGGGGGGGATATAGAATCAATAAAATAGAGTCAAAGTTGAAAGGATTAAATCAATTGGAAAAACACCTAATTCAAGAATCAAGAAGGAATAAGCAAACATTCAATCACGAAATCCCAAAATACATATTATTCAAATTCGGTGGTTAAAGACTAGATTCAACTGAGACCTCAAATTAAATCAAGCGATCACACGAAAACCTTCATGCGTTTGATTAACATAAATTCAATTAAACTTAGAAACCTCTAAAAATCTAATCGAACATGTTAACTTTCTAAACCACTTAATTAACCTTAATTTCTGAAAATCAATTCATGCACTTCAAACGAAACAAAACAATGAATTGAGTTGCCTCTCAAAAATAAATCGAACAAAAACCTTTAGTTCATGATATTAATCAGAATGGAGAAACAAGAAACCAGGAAACCTGAATTCAAATATAAAATCTACAAACTAATTCTCATGAATGTTGCATTTCGTTGATCCTTGAACTAGATAAACGAAACTACTCCTCCATGGATGGAAGCTCACGAAAAGAAAATCTCTATTAAAAAAAACGAGTCCCTAAGTAAAATTAAAAACGCCCCTTAAAAACAAAACTCTCCAATCTTTTATTCAAATTTGACTTTTCAAATCTCCAACAACAAACCATAACTTCCTCCTTCAAATTCGCCCAGGAAGTGCATTTGTTATGATTTGTAATTGATATGTCATTCAATCCACGGATGTTAGCTTTCAAATACCACTGGAATGAGTCGAATTGGACATCTGTGGGCCGAGATATGACTCTAGTTTTGGTCCAATTCTGTTTCTGGATGCTACGATTCAGCCTTTAAATTTCCATGAGTGTTGTAGGCCCATCTCTGAGCTTTCAAATGCAATTGGAATCACTCAAATCTGATAACTATAGCCCGAGATATTACCTACACAATAAGCAAAGGTCAAAAGGCTCTAAAATTCAAAAATTAACAAAGTTTAACAATTAAGCCCAATAATATAAAACTCAGCCAAAGCAATACAATTAAGCACAATTCACAACTAATTAGGCCTATTACAAAGCTATCACAAGTGTATAAAAATTCATTGATCAGTAACTAAGTCCATAGCTAGGGCTATGGGAATTATCGTTCATAAATTTATGAGATTTTGATGTTTGAATCTAAATTTGATTTCCGTTTTGTGATTAGATTTTATCCTATTATGCTTCTCTCTTAATCCTAATAAATTAGATCGTCATGCAACTGTACCTTAGTTAATTAATAGATCTATAGGGTAAAACGAGACAAAGGGTTAAGTGGACCAAACCAATCTTTCTCTTCTAATCGTTATTAAGTTAACAAGTTCATAGGTTTCTTAAGCTTTCTTAAATTGATATCTTGCATGACCATTAGAGATGTTAGTTTAGAGAAAAGAATATTAATATTCCATGACCATTGGGCATTAATAATATTCGTATAAATGATTGGTAATCACAAAGAAATCAGATTTAGAGTTAAATAAAAAAATAACATAAAGGATTGAATGAGAAAACCCATATGCCCTAGGTTTCTCTCCAATAAGTGTAACCAAGACATGCATTGTATTCCTTGCTCTTAGTTTTATAATTGATTTTATAAATTCTTGTTTTAATTAATCTTGTATCTTTGAAGCTTAAACAATTGAATTAGGAAATTTTTAGTAATTGAAAATCATTCCTTGTGAGACGATATTTCAGAAATTTAATTTAAAAACCCTTTATTATTTCTCAATGGGTACACTTGCCCTCCGAACAAGTTTTTGGCACCATTAGCAGATTTTTTTAAAATTTTTGTTTATTATTTTATTTTATTTTATTTATTTTATAATTTCTTTTAATGTATGCTCACTCATTCTAAGTGTTCTACAACTTGTTTATTTGATCTATAGATTGAAAGAACAGTTAGTCGATAAAGAAAAGAAGTGAGAGAGCAAATAATGGCAGAGGCACCGCTGGAAGTATCGCAACTCCTAATGTGGAGGCCAACAATTTTGAACTTAAACCAGCACTCATAACCATGGTCTAGAACTCCATACAGTTTGGAGGTATGCCTAACGAAGACCCCAATCTCCATCTGACAAAGTTCTTCTGATTGATGGATACCATCAAATTCAATGGAGTCTCCAACGATGCTATTTGACTTCGTCTTTTCCCGTTCTCGGTATCTGAAAAGGTGAATGCTTGGTTCAGCTCACCCCCAGTCAACTCCATCACAATTTGGGAGAACCTCACTCAATAATTCTTGGGAAAATACTTTCTTCCATCAAGGTCCTCAAAACTTATGACAGAAATATGTTGCTTCCAATAATATGAAGCAGAATCCTTGTTCGAGGCATGAGAGCGGTTTGGAGAGCTTTTGAGGTGTCCTCATCATGATTTCCCGATATGGATACATTGGCCTATCAATCACCACTAAGGCTACAATTGATGTCACAGTAGGAGGGTCCATCATAAGAAAAGATCCAGATGATGCATACAAGCTAATAGATGAGATGACATCTTCCAGCTTTCAGTGGCACACTGCTGACTCTTACGATATCAAGAGGAAAGAGACCACCCTGATCTACCAAGCAGAGAGCAACAGCCAACTAATGAAGCAAATGACAGCCCTTGCAAAGCAACTAGAATCTTTAATGAAGGCTTAAGCCTAACCTATAAGAACTCCTATAAGCCCAAAATTTAAGCAAGAAAAGGCAAATTTCATGGGCAATCATAGTTTGGTTCGTAGAGTAATCCTCCTAACACTTGGGGGAATGGCTTTGGAAGCCAAAATTCAAGGGAAAGAAGCCCCTAGATCTCAGTCCAACTTTCAAGAACAAATGATGCAATATGCGCATTACTCTGATAAGAGGATGACTGATCTTGAATCCAAGTTGGACCAATATGTTGATAGAACTAATAAGAAGTTCACAGAAGTCAAAGCTAAAATACAGGCCAATTCTTCAAAGATGAGTGCACAATTAGAGCAAATTACAAGCGTTCTGAGTCAAAGAGTGATGGGAACACTACCATCTCAGCCTGAACCTAATCCAAGGGAGCAATGCAATGCCATCACCCTTAGAAGTAGAAAGAAATTATAGGAATCAAAAAATAGAGGCACATGCACGTCCAAGCTGATTCTACGGTTACACCTGTGCTAACTGATGAGCACGCCCCTGCTATAATAGAAACACGACCATGCTTATACAAGCACGCCCATGACAATGATCAAAGCGTGGCCATGCATCACTATAAGCAAGACCATGCTTCAAGTGAAGAGCCTGGAAAAGAAAAGAAGGAAGAGACCCTTGTTCAAACAAGGCCCTATAAGCTTAAAATACCTTTCCCACAGCGGCTGCAAAGTCACCTTTCTTATGATGAAGAATTTCACAAGTTCTTTGGGCAAAGTGCATAACAATATGCCTGTCACTGATGCTATCTCCAAAATGCCCAAATATGCTAAACTTTTAAAAGAGATTTTGACCAATAAGAGAAAGTTGAGAGCACATGAAACTGTGAGGCTTACCCAGGAGTGCTCAACTATAGTCCTTAACAGGCTTCCACCTAAGCTTAAGGACCTAGGGAGTTTTACTATTCCTTGCATGATTAGAAAAACTCATATTGATAATGCTTTATGTGATTTATGAGCAAGTATTAATCTTATGCCTTATTCTATTTTCAGGAAGCTTGGAATGTATAAACCTAAGCCGACCTCCATGTTACTTCAGCTGGCAGATAGATCGATCACATACCCAAAGGCATAATGGAGAATGTACTTGTAAAAGTTGGGGAGTTTATATTTCCCGTTGACTTTGTGGTACTTAACATGTAGAAGATGATGATGTTCCCGTCATACTAGGGAGACCGTTCTTGGCCACTACAAGGGCCATCATAGACGTACAAGAAGGAAAGCTCACACTGAGGCTAGATGATGAGGAAGTTGTATTTCAAGTTTTCAATTCTTTCAAGTACCCTTCTAGCCAAGAGTCCTATCACTTTGTGAGCATTGTGGATGTTGCTTCTCCTCCTCTAATTTATATGAAGCATGGAACTACAAGAAAAAGGCCAAGGAGGAAGTAATATAAGAAGAAGAAAAGACAAAAGCTTAAACTATTCATTAATAAGCCTCCTAATTTAGAGCTTAAATTTTCTTCTTTTTATTCTAATCCCCATCTTATGCTAAAATTTTCTGATATAATAGGTGTTGAGGAGGCAAAGCTGCTAGGGAGATAATTACATATCAAGGAAGCCACCTCTAAGACTCATGACTTCTTCCCACTATGATTTAACAGGAACGTAAGGCTCGTGACGTTAAACAAGCACTCCTAGGAGACAACCTGTGTCTTTTATTTTATTTAAATTTTATTTCTTTTTGTTTATTTTAATTTTGCTATTGTTATTTTATTTTTAGAATAAAGAATAAGCATATTGAAAGATTGCAAGAACTGAGTTGATTGTTCCTACACACACTTTTGAGCTGTGATTTGAAAGCAAGCCCGTGCTCAACCCATACACGGTCATGCATTTAGTCAGTTGTGAGAGAAAGCTTTACATTATCTTTCAATTTATAATTCTTTGTTATCAAAAATTTTTTTCAATGCAAAATAAAAGGTTGAAAATTTTAATATAAATATTTATGTTACTCAAATGTATGTTCTAGTTTTTTTTTTTTTTTGTATTGCTGGACCAAAGCAATATCTAAACATAAAAGATAAGTGTTTTTCCTCATTTAGAGAGTCTGATTCTGATGAAGAGGTAAAATAGACTCACTGCTAAGACCTAGGCTAACAAAAAATTAAAGCTACAAATCTCAAAAAAATTGTTCAACTCGGATCACTACTCAGCTAGACCCTACAGCATAAGAAGAAGACATGCCACCTATCACACCTGTTCACATACCACCGTATGATCATTGCATCACACATGCCAACACAGTTAGAATGTAAAGGTGAACTTACACAACAAATAACCATAGTTATAAAGTGTATAATATAAATATAATTAATTATTTAAAAAGCTTAGCACATCCACAGTTCTCAGCAAAGCAGTACATCAATTTCACTCATTTCCAGTCCATCTAATACAATAACTTAGTTCCATCTGGTTTCACAACTCAAATAATGTTGAAGAAACTTAAAATTTTTTAGTTTGGGAGTGTCATTCAGGCATCTGGACCTAGACACTATACAACTCAGCGTTTTCCTATCAGTACATGCCTAATCACCTAAAAAATGTATCTTGGCTCTAGGATGAGAAAATCAGCATAATGTAGAACAACCATATATATATATATATATATATATATATATATATATATATATATATGAGGCTTGTGGAGTATCAGGAACAGTAGTGAGCAAACTAGTAATTTTACTGAGTAGCTCATTCTGATTGTCATCTATGGCTTTGGCCTTTTCTTTCTATCTAAGTTCAAAGATTTTTTGTCTTAGATAAGGCTTCGCGTTGTGTCCCTAGACCTGCTCCTCAAATTGATAATATTTCTCAGGATAATTCTGGGAAAGTTGAAATAACCTTTGATAGGAGAAACTCCTTCTCTTCTAGAGTAAATGCTTACAGCGGTCGGTCTAGTTTTGTCTCTGCTAGAAGATCATTCTCCTACAGATCCCAAGCTTCAAGGTTTGAGGTTTCCAGATCTGTTAATCATGATCCCTCTATAAACCTACAGGGTTTAGATACTTCTTCTAGGATTCTTAGAAATGTCTACCAGACTTCTGAAAAAGAAGAAGAAAACCAAGAGTATCCAATCTCCAACTTCCTCTTCCCTAAATTCGTCTTATGATGTTATCTCATAAATTCATTATTGATAAGGAAACCCTTAGGAAAGATTTCTACTCTGAGGAATGGAAACCTCAAAGAGAGTGGTTCTTCCAGAATTATAGGGGAAAAAATAGGACCAATATCCAAGAGGAATTTTATCAATTTCTCAAAAAAGTCAAGCAAAACATCCCATTCTTTGATTGGTATCACGTTTATACCATTCATAACAATATTGATTATCCCTGGCAAGAGGATGTAATCAGCACTTCCTCTGCTAATGTCATAACCTGATAGATTAAAGATGGACAAATTGTTCAAAGTAAACTACCACCAACTACTCAATATCAGTTACCCAACCTGAAAGACAAAAGCGGTAATCATGTTACTGTTACTCCTTTCAAAACCAAAAATCCTGATGAGTCTATCACTCTCAACGATATCCAAGGCTTCATAGAACAAGCCAATTACACCAACAAATACCTTCAGGTTTTAGGAGAAAAAATCTCTGTTAATCCTGTTAAGCATAAGGTAGAAGATATTGCTTCCTCTTTTTCTCAATCTCAACTAGAAAAACCTCTGTTCAAACCTTTTAAGATTAGTGCCAAAGCTAAACAAAAAATCTTTGAACTTAGACAGAAAGAAAAGGCCAAAGCCATAGATGACAATCAGAATGAGCTACTCAGTAAAATTACTAGTTTGCTCACTACTGTTCCTGATACTCCACAAGCCTTTGAAGAGTCTAGCGCCAAACCTAGGACTAGATCTCTTGCCAAAACTGTTAATGCCATTTCTAAGGCTGATTCAGAACAATATTCTGAAACAGATTCCATTCTCGCTATCAACCCAGTAAATAACTGGAAGAACTCTTCCAAACTCTATTACAATAGAGCCATTGCTCCTGATCTCATTCTTGAGGATAAACAAGATTTTATCCAAAGTTTTAATTCTAATGATATTTATATTTGGAATATTGATGGATTATCTGAATATAATATCATTGACAAACTCTAGAAGATGTCTGTCGCTATGGGATATTTTATCAATCAAAATATGCCTGAAGACATAATTGTTTATATTCTAGTTGCAGGTTTTACTGGCCAACTCAAAGGTTGGTGGGATAATTATCTCACTGAAACTGATAGAGAAAACATCCTCTCTGCAGTAAAAATTGACGACAAAAGTAAAACCATTGTCAACGATAGTGAACACCTCCCTGATGCTGTATATACTTTGTTATACACCATCTCTCAACACTTTCTTGGAGACCCTTCTTTATGGAGAGAAAGGTCTGGAGAGCTCCTTTCCAACCTAAGGTGTAAATCCTTAGAACATTTTAAGTGGTATAAGGATACCTTCATGTCTAGGGTCTTAACCAGAGAAGATTGTAACCAAGCCTATTGGAAAGAAAAATATCTGGATGGGCTTCCAAAGTCTTTCGGAGATCTTATTAGAAGTAAACTTCAAGCCAATTCCCCTAGTGGAGAGATCAATTATGATAAGTATGACTATGGTCAACTTACTGCCATTATCATCCATAATGCCATTAAGGTTTGTCAAAAGGATAAACTTCAAAAACAGCTTGCCAAAGAGAGAGCCTTGAATAAGAAAGATTTAGGATCTTT